ACTTCTTCATAGGAGAGGCCATCTTGGAATATAAGGAAGGCTCAGTTTCAATGTTTTATGTTTCCTTTGCCTACTTGGGTTTCCTTGCTCTTGTGAGCTTCACAGTGGCCTTTACGGCTAGGAAATTACCTGACAGCTTTAATGAAGCCAAGTTCATTACTTTTAGCATGCTAGCCTTTTGCAGTGTTTGGATCTCTTTCCTCCCTACCTACCTGAGCACAAAAGGGAAGTCCATGGTGGCTGTGGAGATCTCCATTTTGGCCTTTGGGGCTGACCTCTTGGCTTGCATCTTTTTCCCCAAATGCTACATTATCCCACTGAGGCCCAATCTGAATTGTCAAGAGAATATAATGAAACACAAAAATCTCCGAAACTTTTATTTTGGTTTTGTGGCTTTTGTATTTAATCTGATTTCTAAAATATCATAAAATGAAATGATAACCTCTGTAAAATTATTGAAAATTAGATGATGTGATTAATCATGAAGTTTCTCAGGAAGAATCACTCACCTTTTTGTTTTTCATTAATTCCATTTTCCCCCATTGAGGTTCTAGTGATGAACTTGGAAAATACACATAGATATTAAAGATGTGCATATTCATTTCCACAAGGACAATTGGCTTCTTTATTTGTTTTCATCAAAGGAATTTTTTGGTATGTTGAATTTCATTCACTATCAGTGTTTTTAAATCCTACAGATTTTTATATTTTATGTGTACCCTGCCTAACAGAGTTGATAGCATAGAATCACTCATGCATTCAATAGAAAAACGCTTAGCAACACATTTTGAAACAATTATACAAGAAAGCCTAATTTATCTTGAAAAAGAAATACAGCACTTATAAGCAACTACCTATCAGCTCAAAATCAAATCCCAACCCAACAACCACTACCACAATGATTACCTCAACTACAATCACAACTACAACCCAAAATGACCACCAAACCCCAACCACAAATAATTACTATCCCATCAAATAATTCCACAAATGATATGTCCTTACTCATCAGAGACACCATTGCACGTGATCAGAAATGTCCAAATGCCATCTTATTTGGTCTTCAAGACACCAATGAATCAGATGACATCACCAAAGTTCGTGATATCATAAGCAACTCAAATACAACAAACATCTCTCCTGAAGATATCATCGAAATAACCAGAGATGGCCATGGGTACAAATACAGTGATGGTTTGGTGGCCCCAAAATTTTGTAGAGCTTTTTGGCAAAATGAGTCCAGCAAACTTCATACATACTCATATTCATTCATACAATAAACGCCATTGCAAAAACCAATCCCAACCACAAAAAACATCTCTCAAGACCAGACTTATCCATACTGCAAAGAATCCACTCCCGTGAACTCCGCAAGGAACTCAAAAGACGTCTAGACAATGGAGAGAAGGATCTCTACATTGACTACCACGCTGATTGTATCAAAAGTAAGTCACACAACCCACAACTCCACATCCAACCCTACCTCATCCAACCCACCGTCACTCAAAACTAGGCATGCCCCTAACTACCACAATTCCAACTAAAACTGACCTTAAATGCAAGCTACTCAATGCAAGAAGCCTTGTGAATAAAATACCCGAATTTCTCCTCTTACTAAATATGACTAAATTCCACATCATATTTGTCTGTGAAACATGGCTCAATGCATTTCTCCCTGACTCCATTACCACAGTAAGTGACTATCATGTTTATCAATCAGATTGTGAAATCCGTAGAGGAGGTGGTGTTGCTATCTTCTATAAATAGTCTTTACATCTAAAAAACATCCAAGTTACCCAAGAGCTTGCTCTTCCTGAGACCATTGTCTGTGAACTGTCTTTAAGTATCACATTTTGATTCTTACTATGTTACAGAGCCCCTGATTATGACATCGAACATGCAAACAACCTAAATTCACTACTAACATGGGCAACATCCTGCCCCACACACTTTTATATTTCTTGGCCAGCCATAATTCTTGGCCAGCCATAATCTTGGCCAGTTTCTTCCCCAAACCCCCAAACCTTTAACCTTAGACTGTCTACTATTGACCTCACCCCTTTCCTAAGAGGTCTCTAGGGGGCGTGCATAAGCGCACCAACGTGCCTACCATCCCTGTCCTATTCTTTCTTTTATTTTTCTTTTATTTTTCTTATATGTACCCATTTCATGTATTCATAACTATGTATACACTTATACTTATTATCCTGTAAACAATTGACAAATCAAATAAAAATAAATAAATAATGAATCTTGGAAAAAGGATCTCAAATGTCCAGTCATGGCAGATGATTTCTGTCACTTTTTATTCAGTCCATAAAGAAGAAAATGTAGCTCAGAACATATTAAAAGAGCAGTTATTGGGGGGGGAAAAACCAATTTAAACTTATCATAATTTTAGGTGAAAGTGGGCAAAGGGGGGAGGGAAAGACAAGAATGCAAATCAGTAGCCTGTAAGATCAATAGAGAAATATACCATCCTGAAAGGCCTTCAAAGATTGCCTGAGTTTCAGGGAGGAGGTGTCACCCCAGAACAAGATGACAATCCGAGTGTATTTGTCCAAGAAGCTTCAACAAGGCAATTGAAGTCCTAGTGGGTGCATTTCCAGAACCACCACAGTTACTCTCACTATATAGCCTGAATTCAACCTGTTCCTGGTCTAAAATTTATCAGACTTTTCTGACCCAAAAGCTAAATGTTGGACCTTTCTGGACAGTGATGTGAAAACCCAAGGCAGGCACTACCACATAGCCCCACTTAGGTCATAGAATAAGAGAGCTGAAAGGGACCTTGGTCTTCTAGTCCAGGGGTCACCAATATTTTGGACCTCAGGGACCACCAACCTCATAATTTTAAATCTCTGGGACCACTAATATGAATTTTGAGTGACGGTGGCTTACTGACATTGGTGGGAGAGAGAGAGAGATCTGATCTAACCTCTCTCTTTCTCTCTCATGCACACACACACACATACAGAGTGGGGGGGCAGGGGGAATTCAAATTTCTTAACAACTGGTTCTGTGGGCATAGCATAATTAATGGGTGTGGCTTGATGATCATGTGACTGGCTGGGCATGGCTTATATGTAAATATTATAAATATTTATGTAAATATTGAATTTTGTATTAAAAATGTAATTTGAATTGTAAAGAAAATATAATGAGGCAGAAGAATTTCTGGCTCAAGTGGAGATTGAGCACTGTGATTTTTGGACATTTTTGTATTTGATCTGATTTCAAAAATAAATCATGAAATGCAAGAAAATGTTGTCCATTAAATAACTGGAAATCACTATGTGACTAATCACAAAACATTTGTTAATCAGCAACAATCACCTTTCGTGGGGGAGGGAGGACCAGGGGAGACATGATAGCAGTCTTCCAATATTTGAGATGCCGTCACAGAGAGGTGGAAGGGGTCAAGCTATTTTCTAAAGCTCCTGTAGGCCAGACAAGGAATAATGGATGGATACTGAACAAGGGGAGATTTAACCTAGAAACAAGGAGAAACTTTCTGACAGTGAGAACAATCAACCCATGGAAGAGAAGTTGCCCTTGGAAGTTGTGGGAGCACCATCAGTTGAGACTTTCATGAAGAGATTGGACTGCCATTTGTCAGAAATGGTGTAGGGTCTCCTGCTTGGGCAGGGGATTGGACTAGATGACCTACAAGGTCCCTTCCAACTCTGATTATCTGTATCTGTATCTATCTGTATCTTTATCAGATGAAGCTATCCTTTTATTTTTCATTCTTCTTCTTGTACTCAGTGAGTCCCCTGTAATCAAAATAGCAGTAGACTTTTCTATTAAATATGTGGATATTAATTCCCAACAGTTCCTCATACTATTTACTGCATCTCTGTTTGGAGATAGAGGCCAAGAGTGGCCACTGAAATTGTGTATCTCTTATGTGGCAAAAAAAAAATCAGTTCTCCTTTGTTTGCAATCAATTAACTCAAACTGAGATATACAGACCTAATGCCACAGACTATTACTTTAATACAACAGTCCCATGGCTATGCAATTGATTTTATTCTGCTTCCTCCTCTTGATTTATGGAAGATGATTTTCCTCCCAGACCTATATTTTATTGTTTTATTACTCACTTTGGGTTTCTGAAGGAAAACTGGCACAGGAAGTAAATTGAAATCCCTTACTTACAGTAACTCAAAATCCCTGACTGAAGATATGTATGCTTACATCTTCTGTTGTTCATGGATTAGTCTCTCCTGCCTTTCTGTATACATGTGAGGGTATCCTTTAGTTGGGTGGGATATCTAAATATTTGGAGGGAGTTTTTCCAGCACATCCTGTTTAATAAACATTTGATTATTGCTGTTTGATTACATACTGTGCATCTATTACACCACTCAGTCAAGAGGCTTATGAAGACTGATGATATCTGTCCCACAACATTTAACAATGAAGAAAAATGCAGTAGGCAAATATTTCTGGCTATAACTAGTTTTTAGATAACATTCCTGTAGAGTTTAAATGAGGCTAACATCTTGAGAAATTTTCCTGCCTCTTGTTAAGAACTATGTGTGAAGTTGGGAACTAACTTTATTTTTCCTGCCATGTGGGGATAAATAAACCAGCTTTTCCATCCAAACATTGGTTTGATTACTCACACTTGCAAGAGTACACCTGTCATGTATCACCATGAATCATTGGCATTCATACTACCTGAACACATTATAGAACAGGCCAAACTCCACCTTGACTCTCAAATCCACCTGCTCTGTGGATTAGCAACAAGAGACACCAAAGTGTTTTTCCCTTTCTGGCGCACAAACAAAATGGAGTGATAAGTCAGTGAGACTATTGCATCTCCTTGCAATTATCAGAAGAATAGTAGTTGTTTAAAAAATATGCTTGGAGTTCTCCAGCTGGGGGCAGAACAGGCCACTTCTGCTTATATTGCAAAGAGCTAACTCAAGAGCCCGCAATTCAGCTTCTCTACAATCTTGATTTCTGATCTAAGAGGGAAGGTGACAAGAATGGCTGGGCTGCCTCTCCTGCTGCTTCTGCTGCTCTTCTCTCTCCTGCCTCCAATTATTGCTAAGAAGATGCAAAACTTTTGTGTGTTGCCACAACCTTACAAGATTCAGGAAAATTATTACAGCCCTGGTGATCTCATTGTTGGTGGGAATTTGCACTTGGGACTCTATTGGGAACTTTATTTACCCTTTAACAAAGACCCATATCTGTTTTCTCTCTCATATTTGTAAGTTTTACTTTGGAGCACAATTATCTAGGTGGTTGCTTGCTCTGTTTGCTCAGAAATATTTCTTCTTATGATGTTTCAGTTTCCTGGTGTAGTTCAAATATGTGTGATTTTTTTTCAATAAAACAGATTGAAGACTGATTAAGTAGGATAATTTTTCTTTCCAAACTCTTCATCAGGAGAACAATAAACCACATAAAGAGTGAGGAGGGATAACATGTTAGGAATTTTATTAGCCTAGTGAAAAAGTTGATTTACAGTATTAATTTGCACAGAAACTCATGATGGATGGATGGATGAAAAAACCAGCCCTTTTCCAGAGTGGGCTACTGCAAAACACACAACATTCAGTTTTGGAATCTGCAGTGCTTATGAATAATGGTCCCCACTGTTGTGTAAAAAGCAAAAAGTTGGGTTTGTAATGTTATTTTCTTCTGTGCTAAAGTGAGTCAGAAGTCACTTCCTTTCCTTTTCTCCCTTTCCACTATATCTCTTTTTTCACATCTCTTTTTTCTTTGTATTTTATACTTGGGTAAACTAATAAAAAGTTAAATTTGGGCTGCAGTACACGTTTGCTGTTTCCACTGGAGACTTGTGATCAGCAATGGTTGCCAGACCTGAAGAAGCTGCTCCAAGAGAGACCCACAATGATTTGGTTGCTAGAGGAGAAATTGCTTAGGGTTACAGGCAGTGAAGCAAAGAGAAGAAGTCAGGGATGATAGAGGGGTATAAAATGGCCCATATTATGGATAGACAGGCTTTTCTCCTTTCCCACAAAGCCATCCAAGTTTAACAAAGAAACATCTTTTAAAAAAACCATTAATATTTGGGACTTCCAACTCCAAAGAAAACTCCACCAAGAAAGAAGACAAGGCAAACTTCATCACATGCTTTGGTGTAATGTTTTGCAATGTTTCTCTCACTGCAGACCCACACCCAACAACTACCAGATGTTCATGGCCCTGGTGTTTGCAGTGACAGAGATCAACCAAGATCCGGTTCTCCTCCCCAACATCACCCTGGGTTTCAACATGTATGACAATGCTAATTGGAACAAAAGAGTTTCATTGATCAGCCTCTTTCTGCTCTCCACACGAGACCAAATGGTTCCAGGTTATAAATGTGGCGAGGGGGAAACTCTCTTCTCTGTCATTGGTGGTGACAACCCCCAACTCTCAATGCCAATGGCCTCCATCTTCAGTATCTTCAAGATCCCACAGGTAAGGGGGTTCATTTAGATATGGTAATGGAGGAGACAAACTACAGAAGTGAACACAAAAGTCCAAGATGACACCAAAAGAGCTTGACATCAATACTATATGACTTTGAGAAGTATTACTACAGTCGGACTCATTTTGATATTTTATGTGTCAAGTTATATTTTACTGGAAAATCTGGTAATTGGTGGTTCTTTCTCTAAGAGATACATAATGTAATATTTCTGTACCTATGAATAATGTGTTATTCATAGAAGTGTAGGTGCTATTTCATTGTAGTTTATTCCCTGTACCAACTTTATTGCTTGTTTCCTTGGATTCTGACATGTTACAACCAGGGAAAGTATGTTAATTGGTGGTTCTTCCTGAGAAAGGGAGAATCTTATATCTCAAAATAACTCAGCTTGATGGGGTCAATAAACTACAAAATGGGGACCTCTAAAATCATCATCAATCTTTACTTTTGTCTTTTAAAAGAAGATTCTCATTTTTTTTCCAGCTCAGCATTGGCTTTGAGTTCATTCAGGGAGACCGAAGAGTTTATCCTTCCTCTTTTCGGATTAATCCCAAGGAATTTCCTCAATATGTGGGTTTAGTCCGGATGCTCCTGTATTTCCAGTGGAACTGGGTTGGGTTTATTGTCACTGAAAATGAGAACGGAGAACGTTTCCTCTCTACTCTGAGGCCAATGCTCATGGAGAAGGAGATCTGCCAGGCCTTCACTCAAAGAGTGAAACATGATTTTTCTCATGCAGAAGTGTTCAAATTCACTTTATATTCAAAAATATGGGCTAATGTTGAAGTTATTCTTTTCTTTGCAGAACCTGACATTGTTGAAACATTTCTTTTGACTCTGAACTTCAAGTCATTTGGTCAAAGTCCCTGTCCAAAAGTTTGGATCCTTACTTCGTATTGGAAGCCATATGCAAGCCATCTTCATGATAGATGGCGAGTTTTAAAGCACTTGCAGGGGTCTCTGCATTTTAGGGACCACTGCAGAAATTTTTCAAAATTCAGCAATTTTCTCCTCTCCTTAGACCCTTTGAACCCACAAGGAGATAGGATTCTTCCACTGTGGTGGGAAAAGGTCTTTGACTGTGAGTTCTACAAACCAGGTCACTATTTTATAAAATGGAAAAAATACTGTACAGGAAAAGAGAATTTAGCGAATCTGCCAACCTATAAGTTTCAAACAAAGATGACAGGGGAAAGTTACAATGTCTACAATGCCATTTATGCTCTGGCACATTCATTACATGCAATGCATGGATCTGGATCACAACCAGCCCTGAGGAGACTTGGAAAGAGAATCTCAAATGTTCAGTCCTGGCAGGTAAACTCTGTCACTTTGCATTCTGTCCAAAGACCTTCGAGTGGAAACTTCCCATATGTGTTATCTGAAATATTCATGAAATATCTATGTGCTACTGTATCATTGTACTTCAGAGTAAATTACAACAATAAATGAAAGAAAATCTGAATTTAGTATAATCGGTTGAAAATGCAGCTAATGTTGTAGCTAAGATCGATAGTAGAAATATCTTCAAATAATGTCCTGAAAGGACTTGAAAGGTTGCCTGAGTTTCATGGAGGTGGTGTCACCCCAAAACAAGATGACAATCTGGGTGTGTTGGTGCAAGATGCTTCAAGGAGATAATTGAAGTCCTAGGGGGCAAATGTCTAGAACCATTTCAGTTTCTCTCAGTATATAGTCTAAATTCAACTTGTTCCTGGTCTAAAAATCATCAGACTTTTCTGAATCAAAAACTAAATGTTGAACCTTCCTGAACAGTGATGTGACACTGGCAATCCCTTCCACATGGACCCATGTAATCACACCTGGTTCTTGCATTGTAATCTTTTTTTTAATCACATAGAATCAGTCCAATTCTACATTGTTTTGAAAGAAATTATTCAATCATTCCCTTACATCTAAAATACAAATTAAAACATGTATGTGGACTGGTATCACAGAAGGAAAATCATACAATAAAATGTCAAGTGTGGCATTAAAATCTTTGTTTGTAGGTATCATTCTGATAAAGCTAGAATTGAATAGCTCTGATTCAAAGGCCCAACGACAAAGGGGAACTTTGTAGTGTTGGGGAAATAGCTCACTGTTTAGTGCTATTCCTGTTTGGTCAGATCTCCACCAAGGAAACACCTATATCTTGTTAAACATACTCCTATCTCCTAAGATAAGGGCCACAATAGAAAAACAGAGTTGGAAAGAACTTTGGAGACTTTTATTCAACTCCCTGTTCAAGCAGGAAACTCTATTTCATTTCAGACAAATAGTTATCCAATCTCTGCTTTAAAACCTACAGTGTTAGAACTTCTGGAACCACCATTCAACCAATTAATTGTGCTCATTGTCAGGAAATTTCTCCTTAGTTTTAGATTGGTTCTCTCCTTGATTAGTTATCATTAATTGCTTCTTGTCTTCCATTCAGATGCTTTGGGCAATAGGTTGAATTCCTGTTCTTTGTGGCAGCCCTTCAAATATTGGAACACCATTACCCTGTCACCCTAATTCTTCTTTTCTCTAGACTAGCCATACTCAATTCCTCCAAATGTTCTTCATGTTTTAGCCTCCAGCCCCCTAATCATATTTGTTGCTCTTCTCTACCCTCCTTCTAGAGTCTCAACATATTTTTTTTATATTGTGGGGACCGAAACTGGATCCATTGCATCCAATTCTGTTACCAAGGCATTATAAAATTGAGTCAATATACTAACAGTTCATGTGATCTTGATTCTATCCCTCTGTTAATGCAGCCTTGGATTGCATTGGAATTTTTGGCAGCGTCAGACATGGCTGGTTTTTATTTAAGTGATTGTCCAGTAGGACGAAGATCCCTCTTGTAGTTACTACTATTGAGCTGGTTACCACCAATTCTATATCTGTGCATCTGCCTTATTCTTGTCTAAATGTAGTATCTTACACCATTAAATTTTATTTATTAGATAGGGGCAGTGTTCAAGTCTGTTGAGATTCTTCTGTATCCTGAGCCCATCTTCCAGAGTGTTGGCTATTCTTTCCAGAACATTTGATATCTTCCCCTTCTATCCCCTCTTCTAAAACATTGATGAAGGTATTGAAGTGTACTGGCCCTAAGGCAGAGTCTTGGGGTACCCCACTGCATACAAACCAACATGAGTAAGACAATGCATTGAGTGTAGTTGGTCAGCTGATCATGAAGATATGGTTCAAAGTTTTGAAGTTTGCATCCACCTTTTCCTTCAGACCCTTGTGTTATAATCCATCTGACCCTGGTCATTTGATCTTGTCCAGAGTGGACAGGTATTCTCTTGCCATTTTCTAATCCATCCCTAATCTGCATTTGACAGTATTTCCTATATACCTTATTTAACTGGCTAGCAAAAAGTTCATCTATTTACTTTGGATGGTTGGATGGCCTGTAGTATACACCCATGCAATGTGGTTCCTTTTTCCTTTATATCGACCCAAATGAATTCACGATAGTTTTCTTCATTGTTCTGCTCTATTTCTTTACAGATGTAGTTATTTCTTATATAAGGTACAACTCCACCTCCTCATTTATTAGGTCTGTTTCATTTAAACAATTTAAATCCACTTAACTGAATATTCCATTCATGGGTTTCATCCACTAAGTTTCAGTAATGGCAACAATATCATACCTCTCCTCATGTACTTGGAATTCTAGCTCACCATTTTACTCTTCATACACTCATAAAACATTCCTATGCCTGTTTTCAAGTTTCTGTAAACAAGGGGGGGAAATTTGAAAGGGTAGTATGGCAGTAAAACTGGAGGTACATTATACCATTATCTTTAAAAGATTGTAGCTATGTTACTGGATCTTCTGGCTGTGAAAATCCTTCATTGGAGAACGTGATTGATGACACCCGGATGTTCTTTATTGGATAATCTGATTTATGATACACCCAGGAAGGAGGGGAAACATGGTCACAGGCGACTGTGAATTACATATGCCAGAGTTGGCTTCATTTAGGTTAATGCTGGCATGTTTCTCCTAATAAATCTTTTGAGTTTTTTGAAACTTGGCTCAAAATTTAATCATGATTTAATTAGGGCAATTGCCTGAACCCTGACACATTGTGCATTGGTTTATAGGCATCTGAGTCCCTTTTGGATGACCCAGTGCTTGGTATCTAGATAACCTTTTTTGTGTCTGAGAAGCCACAAAGTGACAGAAGCCATGATGCCTCACTTGTGGATTTCAGTTATTTAATCCAATGTCTGAAGGTCACTTTTGTTTCAGCTTCTTCCTTATTTGATGAATGTCCAGTTCAACAACAGTGCTGGAGAAGAAGTCTCCATCTCAGAAAAAGGATTGGGATCTGCTCATTATGACCTTCTCAATTGGAATCGCCTCCCCAATCGATCAGTTGTACTTCTGAATGTTGGGCAAATAAATCCCGAGGCTCCCCCAGGCCAGGATGTCACCATTCACTCTGATGCAATTGTCTGGCCTACAATGGTGAGCTAAAAGACTCATTCTCTCCTGGGATTGAGAACCTCCTAACTAAATTATTGAATCAGGAAATATGACAGCCATTTGGTGAAAAACTTGTTGTGTATGTAAGACATTTGAGGTTGGATTTGTGTCAGGATTGGAAAGAACTTCTTGTAACTGAATTGGCCATTAGAGCAGGCAACAGTGATTTCTAAGGACCCTTCTCATTATAGAATTAAAAGCAGGACCCAAAACTGAATAATCAAGGATCATTGCAATGATGATTATTATTTATTTAATATGATGCACTGGAGGTATCTCCTCCTGCAAGCAATAGGGTGCACCCATATTTGAACAATTCAAGAGACAGGTAATAGAAGATGTAATTCATACCTATGGAAAGGTAATAGAAGATGTAATTCATAGATATTCAAAATTGATAAAACTCAAATTAATGCCCAGCCCATTTACTGTTATTATTCTAAATGAAAATATTGTATTAATAAAATAAATCAGTTACATGGAAACAGAAACATTAATCAATCATACCACAGACCAAGTTCTTCATTGTTGCCTAAATTATCACCAATTTGTTCTGTTTCTGTTTTGCTAATACACACCGAATCCTCTAAGAACTTACTTCTTCAAACTGTTCAGTGGGATTCTCATGTGTTATTGTGTCATAAAAGCTGTAGCTCAATGTCACAAGTCTTTCTTTGCATGCCAAAAGCTGAGCTCCAATCTGTATCCCATAAGAACTCTTCCAAGATGCTGGTAGACTCTGATGAACTATTTTCATTGAACGTGGAAGTGAATAAATGAAGCATGTCCATTGTTACAGTCATCTAAAGCATTTCTCTTTTCTTTTTAGAAGGTGCCCTTTGCCAGGTGTGGCATGAAGAGGTGCCAGGCAGGAGAGAGGAGAAGAGTTCCAGAGGGCGAGCAGGTTTGCTGCTATCTATGTACTCCTTGTTCAGATGGGACTATTTCTGATCTGACAGGTAGAACATATTTCAAATATAGACCATGCAGGATCAATGAACCATTCTGTGAATCAAAATATTGATTTATTTTTATCATTGTTCATAGAATTGATAGGCTTCAAAGTTTCAGGGTACAGAGGTTTCCTCTGTAAAATCACTTCTTTGCCTTTTCAGAATTCTTGGTGCACAATTGAATATCCTTTTCCTTGTAATCGACTGGACTGATCCTTCTCATGACATTTAGTGCACCTGTTTATGTCTTACTCTGTTACATTTTGGACATTCTCAGCACACAATATAATGGATACAGAGACACACAAAAGAGCAAGATTTCTGGCTGATACATATATCAGATTTTTGTAGTTCCAGTGGGTTACAATAGTCATGGAACTGTCCAATGAACAGAATAGAATAACACAGTTGGAAGGGACCTTGGAGGTCTTCTAGTCCAACCTCCTGCATAGGCAGGAAACACTACACCACTTCAGACAAATGTTTATCCTAACACTTCTTTAAAGCTTATATTTCTTAAAGGATTATATAAAGATTTTTAATTTCAGATGCAGCTGATTGTGCTCCTTGCCGAGAAGATGAATACCCCAACAAGGATAAGGTCCACTGCATTCCCAAGAAGCTCCACTTCCTTTCCTATCAAGACCCCCTGGGGAATGCTTTATCCTCTTTAGCTCTTTTCTTTTCTCTGAGCACAATTGCCGTTCTGGTGATTTTCCATAAACATCATGACACACCAATTGTCAAGGCTAACAACAGAGATCTCAGTTACATCCTCCTGGTCTCCCTCCTGCTCTGCTTCCTCTGCTCCTTTCTCTTCATTGGTCAACCCAGGAAGCTCATCTGTCTCTTCCGACAAACTGCCTTTGCCATTCTCTTTTCCCTTGCGGTTTCCTGTGTGTTGGCAAAAACTGTCATGGTGGTTCTGGCCTTCATGGCTACCAAGCCAGGGAACAGGACAAGGACATTCTTAGGAAAACCACTGACCATCTCTATTGTCTTAAGCTGTCCCCTTGTCCAAGCACTTCTTTGTGTCACCTGGTTGATAACTTATCCCCCATTTCCCAACTTGGACTTCCACTCCTTGGTCAGAGAGACCATCATAGAATGTAATGAAGGCTCAGCTTCAATGTTTTACACTGTCCTGGGCTACCTGGGTTTCCTGGCCCTTATCAGTTTTACACTGGCCTTTCTGGCTAGGAAATTGCCTGATAGCTTTAATGAAGCCAAGTTCATTACTTTTAGCATGCTGGTCTTTTGCAGCGTTTGGCTCACCTTCCTCCCCACCTACCTGAGCACCAAAGGGAAGTCCATGGTGGCCGTGGAGATCTTCTCCATCTTGGCCTCTGGGGCTGGTCTCTTGGCTTGTATCTTTTTCCCCAAATGCTACATTATTGTACTGAGGCCCCATCTGAATCGTAAAGATAATATAATGAGGCAGAAGAATTGCTGATTTAGGTGGAGATTGGGCACTTTGATTTTGAGATATTTTGTATTTGATCTGATTTCTAAAATCATGATATGTAAGGAAAGGTTGTCCATTAAATAATTGGAAACGTTATGTGTCTAATATGCTAAGTATCTCTTAATCAGCAAATGTCATCCATCCTTTTATTTTTCAGACTTTCTAGTTGTCCCCTGTGAGGGCTCAGTAATCAAGATATAAGTAAACTTTTGCATTAAATATGTGGATATTAGTTCCCAACAGGACTTTTTCATTTTATATCACTCTATTCTCCCTTCCTTCTTCACTTTGATCTGGTGACTGAACAATTTCCCAATTTGTTTCTAACACCTTAATCAATTTGTTTCTCTCTTAGAAAAGCTTCTTCAGGTCTGAGCACAAGATGATGGCCTTTAGTAAATCTATGTTGTGACCACAATGCTCCCATTGTGGTCACAATACAGTTTACTAAAGGCCATCATTCATTACTGATTCCTATTTTTTTTTTAAAAAAGTACCTCACAATGGAAAAGATTGAAACTTTCTTTGAATTTTTGTTATTATGACTTTATGTCCAAATTAATATTATAAGTCACTTTCTTCACTAGGTCTGCACAGTCTCTAGGCATTGTCACTCCCTCCTTTTGTATGGTTGATAATCATCCTGATGAAAACATTTGGAAAGACAGGTCATGCCCCCACATATAATTTGTGTATGTGTCAGCTGGTGTTCCATTCAAAATCTAAGAAAGAAATACTTAGACTCCATTAATTAGAGAAAAGATATCTTTTACTGGAGATCAAGTGGTAGCAACAAAAGAATTCTCAATCTGAGAAAATGGGAGCGTAAATCACATATACAAAGTGATGGCAATGTTTCCACCCGCAACAGTGGCTCATCCAATTAAAAGTTGTGTATAGCATCATGTGGGCATCTCCAGGTGGTGATGAGGCTTCTCTCTGTTGACCTTGGCATATTTTGATAAAGAATTGCAGCTGCGCATAGCATAGGATAGAAGCCTAAGCAAGAACCTTTCCCCTCCCCCAACTTATACAGTTCTGTTTTGTAACACCTCCAGCTCACTTCCCATAACCATATCCCCCCTCCTCCCCCCATTACTTAGGACAGCCGAAAGATGCAAATCAAAGGGGCCATCAAAGGTCAGCCTAAGACTTTCAATTTAATTCAATTTAATATAATTTATTAAATATATGATTTATAAAGCCATCTGATTAGAAAAGTCTCCAGTAATGTAATAATAGGTGAAAGGTGCCAGCTTTGGAAAAATTATTTGGGAATGTAGGGCAGAGGTTGCCAACTTATAAATATTTTCATGACTGGATATAATAAAGGGCATAGTTTAATCAAGATAATAAGCCACTTTCTTAAACTGGATTGAAAGGTTCATCTTGAAAAAAAAAAAAACAGTACTGACTGAACTGAATAGAACTGAACTGGAATGGAATGAGGGTTTATAATTACATATATTTACAATCTTTCTTTTTTTAAAAAAAAGAATATAGTGTGTATTATAAGAATGAACCAAGCAGAATTTGATTGGAAGTTATGTATTATGTATTATATTGAAGGTCATAAAGTTAAGGTATATATTGAAGTTTAAATAAGAGTTGAATGGAATGTAATTAAAAGATATAAAGGTGTCATACTCCAATTAGTAACTATGGGAGAAAATTTGTTTAATGAGAAAAGATAATATGAAATTGAAACAGAACAGACAAAAGTATAAATATAATGATTTGAATTGAGATGAGATAATCAAAATAAAAATGAGAAAATTAAAAGAGGGGAAAAACTATGCAGAAAATGTAAAATAGTATAAGATATGGAATAGAATACAAAAAGGAGCATGAAATTGAGTTTTGTGTCTGTATAAAGAAGTTCAACCCGGGACCATGCTATTTTCAAAAAAGATGTTTTACTTGTATTTTGTATGTGTGAAAACCCAAATAAAACTTTATTAAAAAAAAAAAACCAGTCCTGACTTGAATGGAGTTCATGCTGTTAATTATAACTTACACATCAGCTCTCAGAAATGCACTGCAGGATTGGGAAAGGAGCTTCATCCTACACTGTTTGCTTTAGTAACGGGAATCAATATTGATTGACAGCAACCCTTTTTCTGACAGCAGTAAAATCACTTGTCAGCAGCTACCTCAGGCTTGCTTATGCTTTGCTGATGTGCAGTGGCAATCTACCATGATCTATGGGGAAGGGGGAGACAAAGGGGGGGAGAGCTTAGGAAACTGAAAGTAGATGTTGTGCCATCTCAGGAAGCGGCTTCAAGGTTGCCCAACTGGAAGAAGGAAGGAGCAGCATACCAGAACATGCTTGAACTGACCATTAACAAAACAGTTGGCAAGATTTTAATTGGTTACCTTGGGGTGGGAAATGAAAGACTGTTAAAAAGGGGAAAGGAGAGGGAAATATAACCTAGGGATTTTGGCATGCAAATCTCAGTTCCGGCTATGCATTGTTACAATATACATGACCTTTAATAAAAATATACCTTTCTCAGAAAATGGGAAAAGTTTGTGGCAGGTCTCACACAACTAATTTATATTGATTTCTTTCACGAAAAATTCCTAGAATTCTGACCTTAATCAGAATTCTTTCTTAATCAGATAAGCATCTCTCTTCTGCTCCTGTTTAATTTTTGTCCTCTAATAATTGCAATAAAGACCTCTTCCCAAGAACTACCAACATGTCCTGGCCTTGGTATTTGCCATTCAAGAGATCAATAAAGACTCACACCTTCTGCCCAACATCACCCTGGGCTTCCACATCTATGAAGATAATCTCTATGGAAGCATGGCCCAAGATGTTAGTGTGTCCTTGCTCTCCAGTGGGGGGAAAGTGTTTCCTAGAGACAAATGTGACACACAGGATAATCTTCTTTCTATCCTTGGGGGTCTCAGCTCCAGAATCTCATACCAGATGGCCATCATATTTGGCAATTTCAAGGTTTCTCAGGTACTTAGACATTGGCTATCATTATGAGTGGGGGAAATTAAAAACCCTCCATGGTGCTTTGTCTTTGACAGTCCATACAAACCTGGTGCCAGGATTCAAAGATTATCTCTGGGCTCTGAATCCACATGAACCCCGTGGAGATGTCTTTCTCCCCTGCTGGTGGGAAATTGTATTTGATTGTGAGGTTTTGAAGGCAGGTCAGGCCTCACTTGATGGCCAAAGGGTTTGCACAGGGGAGGAGAACCTGGCCACCCTCCCAGTTTCCATCTTTGATGGAAAGATGACCGGTTTCAGCTACAGCATCTACAATGCCGCCTATTCTATTGCACATGTATTACACACTGCGTATACATGGGAGTCACAACAGGCATTGAAGAAGGGTAGAAAGAAGTCACATCTTCACCTCTCTGTGAAGCCCTGGCAGGTAACTCTTCAGCTCTTCTTAAACAGCTTTAAGATTCATGTACTTTTGCCTGTGATCTCCGTTACCTTTTCTTTTCCCCAATGGCTACTTTTCCCTTTTATTTAAATCTCATACAAATTTTGAATTTTTTTTAAATGTTCATTTCTATTTCAACATTCATAGCTGGATCCTTAATCATTCCAAAAGCTGTAGACCTGTTTGAGTTTTCCATTGAAATTCCTATTACTGTATTTTGATAGTTCAATCCACATTATATTCTTTCTTTCTTTCTCTCTTTCTTTCTCTCTTCCTTCTTCCTTCCTACTTTCTTTCTTTCTTTCTTTCTTTCTCTTTCTCTCTCTTTCTTTCTCTTTTTCTTCTTTCTTTCTTTCTCTCTTTTTTCTTTCCATCCCTCATTCCTTCCTTTTTTCATTCTTTCTTCTTTCTTTGTTTCTCTCTCTCTCTTTCTCTCTCTTGCTTGGTCTTTCTCTTCTTTTTTTCTTTCCAGCTAGTGCAGGGGTGGGATTCAAATTTTGTAACAACCGGTTCTGTAGGCATGGCTAGGTGGGCATGGTCATGTGACTGGGTGGGTGTAGCTTCTTCTCTTTTTTTTGCAGAAATCCCCGCCCCACCCGGAAGCCTCAGGGAAGCATCCTGGGTGGGCTTTCCTGGGACTCAGGAAGGAAAAAACTGAGCATATGGGGGGCATGCAGCAACCTCTCTGTGCTCAATTTTGGGACCTCCTACATCTCAAGGGAGCCTCCTGGGGGGCATTTTTGCTCCAGAAGGCTTCCTTGGGGCCCAGGAAGGAAAAAAATGGAGGAGGCAAAGCAGTAAGTAAGTGAGGGGAATCCAGGTCAGGAGGGGGAAAAAAGAAATAACTTAAGGAGTGACTGGGCAGGAAAGAACGCAGTCAGTGATGTCAGGCATGTGTGCAATGTTGCGCATGCACGATAAGGACTGATTGGGCAGGGAGAGGAGGGGAGGGGCAAGTGGAGAGGAGCAGGGCCAGCCAGGGGCACGATTTTCTGGTTCTCCAAACTGCGCAGAATCATAACAATCGGTTTTATAGAACTGGTCCGAACCAGTAGAATCCCACCCCTGACCTAGCAGTACCTGAACACCCTTGTAAGTGGATCATAAGCTTCCTAACAGACAGGAAGCAGCAGGTGAAGCTAGGCAGAATCACATCTGATACCTGTACAATCAGCACAGGGCTGATGTGCTATCTCCACTTCTCTTCTCCCTATATACCAATGACTGCATCTCAAACGATCCATCTGTTAAAATACTGAAGTTTGCTTATGACACAACAGTGATTGGTCTCATTTAAGACAAGGATGAATCTGCATACAGACAGGAGGTTGTACAACTTCCCTCGTAGTGTAACCGGAACAAACTGGAACTGAACACATTCAAAACTGAAATGGTGGTAGATTTTAGGAGAAACCCTCCCATACTACCACCTCTTACAATACTAGACAACACAGTATCAACAGAAGAGACCTTCAAATTTCTAGGTTCTACTACATGACCTAAAATGGACACCTAACATCAAAAACATCATCAAAAAGCACAACAAAGAATGTTCTTTCTGCGCCAACTCAGGAAGCT